TAAAAAAAAATTCAGCATCTGGGCTTTTTTATTATTTTGATTCAGAATCAACGGGAGTTTATAGGTTTAAAGGAAATGAAAGAAAGAGAAGCAGAAACATGATAAAGCGGAAAACGTATAAGGAAATGAAGGGTTCGAAGACATCTGGCAGCCCCAGCCATCGAATCAAAGTATTCATGGAGCTATGGTGACTGCTGGAAGCTCCTTCCAGGCGTAAAATGTCACAGTCATCTTTAACATCCCTTCTCCACTGTGCAAGCAGGCAAGCCACTCCACAGTGAAATAAATGCCCGGGGTGCTTATTAATTTACCTCTTGGTTACATAAATTACTCAAAAACAGTAACCATGTTTTCTGAATATCTGTGCAATACTTTGAACAGTAGGTACATAATATAATAAGAGGAAATGAGAGCAGATAGAATCTCCTCTAACAAGCTTTTGCACGCACTCCCTTTTTTTTTTTTTTGGTAAAATAAGAGGGGAATACAGTCAAGAGACAAGAATAATTTCTCTGCAGTCTATCACTGAAACCCATTAGGAAGTGAAGACTGAGCAATTACATAGCCAATGTAATACACAAACTAACATATGTACTTAGAAACTCAAATCTGTACTGCAAAGAGACATTGGGAGAAAATTCCCCACGGGTCTCTCATGTTTCTGCACATCTTACAAGCAGAGGCAGTGACAGCTTTTGTCCCAGGCCACCTTTTCAAGGATTGTGTATAATGTAGGGGAGCAGAATTTGCCACCCCAAAATATGTTTCTTTGGCAAAAGGATTATTTTAGGCTAGTTATTTTTAAGAAAATGCAGACATGGGAGAAGCTCTGAAAACAAAGTAGAAGCTACCCTTTGTAAGAGACATTTATATTTGTAAGGGAAGTCTCCATTTGTAAGGGCATCTCCCTCTCTGCACCGGGAAGAAGGAGATGAGCTTCTATCTAGAAACTCTTATCAATGCAGAAGGCAACAACCTAAATCCACATCACAACCTTACCCTCGTTTACTGCGCTGATCTGGTAACTTCCCAGAACTGACTCTCCCTACCCCCAACATCTTCTTCCGTCTTTAGCTAAAGATGGTATTTAAGATGGTGGATTCTGCCATCTTGGTGAGTTACTCAGTTTTCCTGGGTCTCTCTCTTGTATACAGGAGGTATACTTGTTATTAAACTTTGTGTGATTTTCTCCTGTTTATCTGTCTCATGTCAATTTAATTCTTAGACTAGTCAGAAGAACTTAGAAAAGTAGAGGAGAAATTTCCAACAGCCTTGGAAAATGGATACAGTGTTTCCCTTGGGAACAGAGGGCAGGTTTATTTGCTGTCCAGCGTAACAAAGATAATCTCTCTCTCCAGGGCAGAAATTGGACAGTTTTGTTTGCAGCTGACTAGGAAACATTAGAGTTCTGTAAAGTCAGAGTTCCTCATTTGTGCTGCACACCCACTATATGATCACCATCCACCTGGACCACTCCACAGCATACCCAAAGGACATAGGGAGCAAGAGGAACCAACATGAACATGAAGCTTATGCTGCTTGTGGCGCCACGAGCAAGAGGTCTTTTCTCTGACCCAGGAGTCTCGTGTCTTTAGGTCAATGAAACAGCACATAAAACACTGACCAACTTAAACTAGTTCTGCTTCCTTAAAACACGTTCTTGATTAATTAAACCTTGCTCAAAACAGAGACAGCACTGCACAGGTGTCAGGTGGGAACCCGTAGCCCCAGGATGACCCCGAATTAAGAATCTTCAGACATCTTCCCACCTGAGCCCTTTATGAAGCGAGGAATATTTTTCAATAAGGAAAATCTGGCTGCCAGCAGCTTAGTTACCATTTTTACTGATTCAAGACTAGCCAGTCAGTTTACATGGGCCCAGCTGCAGCTTAGTGGCTCCTAACTCCTTAAATTTTGCCCCAATCTGGGATTGAGGAGAGAGATTTAAGAGCCTCCTGTTTCCTTGCCAGTTGACCTCAAAATAAAGCTTTCTTTTTCAAAAGCCAGTGCCATACTATTGGCATCTATGTGCGGTGGGTAGCGAGCCCTTGCTCATAACGTCAGCATCCACGAAACAAGAAATTTTTATATATTGAGGTATAGAGGGTAACTATTCAAGTTCAAAACTGATGCAGCTTGAACTCAAAAGCCTAACTTATGGCCTATCAAACATACATCGTGAGGCCAGCCCCATGGCCGAGCGGTTAAATTCACACACTCTGCTTTGGTGGCCCAGGGTTTTCCCATTCGGATCCTGGGCACAGACATGGCACCGCTCATCAGGCCATGCTGAGGTGGCATCGCACATGCCACAATGAGAAGGACTTACAACTAGAGTGTACAACTATCTACTGGGGGTCTTTGGGGAGAAGAAGGGGGAAAAAAAAGCATACATTGTACATCTGCTTAACCATCAAAGTAAAGGATGCACTTTCTTAAGATAAGAATGCAGACTTCCCCTCCTCCGCCCTATTGGTAATGCCCTGATTAGTCCATTTGCTTATATCACGGTCATGTAGTCCTACTAATTTGCAACTGAACACCTCTTTGAAATTTTGATGAAAATATATCCTGGGTGTGTTTAATGTACATTCTTTGTTCTAAAAAGATATAAGACTGTACTGAAATCCATGCTTCTCCAGAACACCTTTAAGGCCTTCCTGGGTTATAATCTTCACTCTGGCTCATAATAACCTCACCCCAATTCTGATTTACAGGTTGGTTATGGATTATTTGTGTTGACATGTAAAACTGTGGCAGGCTGCCTTGTTAACTTGCAAGTAAGGTAAAATCTCAGACCCTCCATGATTCTTGACAAGGCATAGCTTAAAAGTTAAATACTTTGTGAACCATAAGCATACTTCAGAAGAACTGTGCCTTTCAACTAAATAAATATTTATTGAGAATCTAGCATGTACAAGACATGGTGACTCAATTCTCAAGTTCCGCACTTTATTCCTATCAATACAGGGGTTGAGTGAGAATGCAGACCTTAGCTTCTTTCACCACAAATCAAAGTTTTGGAGACTTCAGGATAGTTACATAATAACAAAGTCCCACTGAAATAGGGTTGAAGTGCAACAGGCTCAAAGTGGCACAGTTCTCATTGTGTCTTGTCAGCTTATAAATTCTGACATGCCATGGGTCTGCAAAAGTCAAGTCTATGAATGCCTAAAGTCTGAATTGACAATGAGAGACTTGGCCTCCAACCTGCAGGATTGGAGGAGGGAAGTGACATTACCCACAGCTCAAATTTCATATCCTTCATCAAGTATTAAACCTCCTGTTATTACATCCAATGCTTACTAAGCTCATCTAAGAACAGGTACTTTTTAAAAAAGAGTAATGTCTTTAAGTTCACTGTAGTTAGAGGGACTACATAATTTCTCATTCAACCAGGGACAGCTTGGGGAGTGAAAGGGGGTGCTATTAATAATTATACTGAGACAGCAGACATATCAGACTGACTGAGGCAAACTTCAACACATAACCAGGCTGGACCTACCACCTCCATTCCAAGGAGCTCAAAGAACCAAACCTTTGACAAAGCCATCCAGAGTCTGGGAGAAAATGTCTTTGTATTCAGCTGTAGTTGCTAAGCTTCTCTCACTTTCAGGTTGGTTATAAACTTAAAATTAGAGTAAAGTTAACCAAAATCTAACACATGCAAACAAGGCAGTTTTGCAAACAATTTTTTTAAGTATTTTCTGGGACTGGCTCAGCTCACATTTAGTTCTCACAGATAGTTATTTTATTTTGAAATGACTTGCAAGATTTCATTCAGTGTCATCCCTGCAGGGGACACAAACCCTAACTAGCATCAAGAGGAGTTGTAATGTTAATTCCCTAAATACCACATTGTTAATTCATCTCAGTGAATAATATGGCTTCTAATGCAAATTATTCTCATGTCACCCATTGCCTAAAGGTGTTTCTAATGATCTATGTGAAATGGCAGAAAATAAGCTTTAGTCTCCATGTGATAGAGAATTTGGACAAACAAGCAGGGAAGTCTGGTTGATCTGAAGTCAGCAGTAGCTAGATCAACAGAAGCCTGCTAGAGAAGTTGAAAGAATTTTATTTTCCCAGGAGTTGTTTTCTCTTCTTAAGGAGCTATTGCAATGAAATCAAGACAGACAGGAAATTTCATTAGGAAGTGACTATAAGTGACAATGAGGAATGCAAAACAACTCTGGCCATTTCTCTTCAAGGCACACTTTCACAGAGGTTTGAGCTCCTGTTTTCTAAGCATTGTGGGTAGCTGCTGAGGAATTCATGTTGGCATTGGTGTTGCCATTTGAGCAGTCTGAAGACAAAGGATTCGTAGTGTGTATAATCAAGATTTAACAATCCATACATTGCTATTGTTGCTTCTCGTTTTTCTCTACTTTTTGTTCCATGTTACACATCATTGAACTAAAAATGAACTATAGATTGAAATATGCAACAGTAGATAAAATGCTTACAGCCTCTTCATCTGCTTGATTGCTGCCAGGAAAGAATTCCAGGGTTTTTGGCATTCTTGACTTTGAGGAGGACTGAAATTGGCTACCCCAAAATACGTCTCTTTGGTAGGAGGATTATTTTGGGCTGGTTACTTTTAAAAACTGCAGACATGAGAGAAACTCTGGAAAGTAGAAGATACTTACACCTTGTAAGAGACATTTACATTTGTAAAGGAAATCTCCATCTGTAAAGGTGTCTCTTCTCTGTACCAGGAAGAAGGGGGGATGACCTTATCTCTAGAAACTCTTATCAATGCGGAAGGCAAGGACTTAAATCTACATAATAACCTTATTCTTGTTTACTGTGCTTTTCTGGTAATCTCCCATAACTGACTCCTTCCCCCGCCTCCCCCCGAACCCCCGCCAACATCCTCCTTTGTCTTTAGCTGAAGGTGGTATTTAAGATGAGAACCTCCACCATTCTGGCAAGTTGCTTGGTTTTCCTGGGTCTCTCCCGTGTATACATGTCATAAAGCTTTGTTTAATTTTCTCCTGTTATTCTGTCTCCTGTGAATTTAATTCCTAGCCTGGCCAGAAGGACCTAGAGTGGGTAGAGGAAATATCTTCTCCCCCAACAACTTCTTCAATTCTGAACACCAATCTACCCCAAAAAAGTACAGACTAGGGATTTATTTATCTACAAAAAACCTTCATGTCTTTGAGGTTGCACATTGCTGATAAAGAATATTCATTGCCCTTCTCTATCTATTACCCCTTTCTTTCTTTAGTATTACCATTTCTCAAATATTAGGTGGGCATGTTGCTTCCAAGCTAGAGACTATGTTCCCCAGCCCCTTTGCAGCTAAGTTCTATATTCCCCAGCATCTTTTGCAGCCAATAGAATGAACTAAAGTGATGTGAGAGCCACTTAAGCCACTTCTTATTTTTCCCTTTCTGAGGGCTGGGACTCAGATGTGTTGGTGGTGAACTGGCTTAGAATATACAGCCAAGGTTAACACCCTAGATCATGGAGCAGTAAGCTAGAATGTGCCTAGGTCCCTGAGCTGTCTTGTGGAGCAGGCCCACCTTGACACCCTGGACTGCCCTCCAACTCAGACTTTTCTCTCAGAGAAAAATCACCTATCTTGTTTAAGCCATTTTTATTTCTATCTCTCTTAAAGTAGTGTAGGGGAGGAACATTACACCCTCCCCCCTTGGTTCTTATAATTCTCCTCTTGGTTCGAATAATAAAATGATGTAAGGTAGGTTAACAGGAGAAAATCAAATAAAGATTAATACATACACACTGGAAATTCACATAAGCATGAAAAATCCCAAAGACAGTTAGGCAAAAGAAGATACATATGGAATTCTGGACTAAGGAAAATGGGACAGGAGTCTGGCCTTCAAAGGGAAAGGAGTCAATTGGCAGGAAGATAAAAGAGTTAACGTTTGGTAAACAAACGTTTGCTGGGCCGTCTGGAGACACTGGGACACACAGAAGACTTAATCAAAGGGTCCTTGCTAGGCTCCTCCCTGTCCACCACACCCAGCTTACTATATTATCTTCGTCTACGGTGAGAGTGCCTTCCTGGAACAGGCCTTCTGTCTTAAATTCTTTTAGGAGGTTAGGGAGAAGGTCAAACTTGCTTTCTGAGTCTTTTGTTCTTAAATATAATCTTAGGCAACAAACAATGATGCCATGCCCTATGTCAGTGCCTAAAACAATCCTCAAATGTATCAAGAGATACATTTTGGGGTGGCAAATTCTGCTCCCCTACAATAGCCAACTAGCATCCTAATCAATAAAATATTACTAACTAATTCATTCTATGACTTTCCTGCTCACTATTTATCTGAGATCACTTAAAAAGTTGGCGTGTGGCTGATAAACGTCTTGTTGAAACACAAAGTCTAGTCCACAGATCCACTAGAAAAAAATTTTTAAAACTTGTGCTAATTGCATTGCACTGCTCTTCAGTTAACCTGCTTATATTTTAATGCATTCTGCGAGATAATTTACTAAACTGAAACCTTGGAGCACAAGTGCAGTTACTTAAAAACAGGATGTGATTTTTTTTCCAGGCAACCACCTTAAATTAAATTTTTAGGTCTCTCAAATTTGCTTTTATCTCTTTATTTTTAACGTCACATAATAAAAATTAAATTCTGTTACTAACATACAAGATGAAATTCTGTTACTAGCACAAGCATAGCAAACATCCAAGATATTTGTCAACTATAAACAGTGGCGAAATAGCAGTGTGTCATATGTCTATCTGCTGGGAATTTTACTTCCAGCACAGCAAGAACTCACAGTGTATGCCATCATTGCTTTAATCTTCATCATCCCAAGAATGTTCACTATACCATCATTAGTGAGGTATGAACAAGGCCTGCAACTCTAGACTGATAAGATTCACTTTGCAATTACTGACTGCTTTCTGTTATTTGTTCGTCTCTTGTATTGGTCATCGAGAATGAGATTTGCAAGCAATTTTACAAGAAGCCCTACAAAGGACTCTAAATTTGAATTATTATGTAACATTGCTATATTTCCCAAGACTTTTCTGTTGTTCCTTTATCCATACATCCATTCACTGTTTCATTCAACAAAACTTTGTTGAGCTACATTCTGGTTCCAGGAGATACAACAATGAATGACACAGTTTTTCTCCCAGTGATGCTAACAGAGTCTTGGAGAAATAGGTAAAGAAAATAATTATGTGAGTAAATGGAGAAAATTTCAATCACCAAAATTTCTTTGTGGAAGGCATTGCCTTGTTGGAAGAAATACATGGCTGTGACCTCCAAATTTCATGCTCCAATTTAAAAAAATGTTGGTTCAGGGCCAGCCTGGTGGTGTAGTGGTTAAGTTTGCATGCTCTGCGTCAGTGGCCCAGGGTTCACAAGTTCTGATCCTGGCCACAGACCTACCACCGCTCCTCAAACAACACTGTAGCGGCATCCCACATAAAATGGAGGAAGATGGTCACAGATGTTAGCTCAGCAACAATTTTCCACAAGCAAAAAGAGAAAGTTTGGCAACAGATGTTAGCTCAAGGCCAATCTTCCGCACCAAAAAAAAAAAAGCTGGTTATAAAGAATGTATATCCTGCTAACTGATTAAATTAGTAAGGGAAATGTGTGTAGAGCTGAAGCAGAGCTGATTTCTTATGCAAAATAGAGAACCAGCAAAAAGGAGGTTGCTTTTAACTTATTACATTTCAACAATCTTTTTCTGGATTTAGTAAGAGGTTCAACAGACTGGAGGGCAGAATTCAAAGACAGTGAGAAAAAAGATCAAGAAGCTCTTGGTAGGTTGGGCCCAAGTTGTGACGAGTCCCCTGTGCTCTATTCAGTGCTTTGGACCTTATCCTACAGTGAGTGAATTGAAGGATTGTAAGAAGAGGAATGAGAATCAGACGTGCGTTTACAATGGTCATCCTAGCAGCATTGGAATGGAGGCCATTGCCATGGAGAGGCAACAACCACGAGGCCACGCTCTAAGTCAGTGCCTTCCTGCCGGGAAGAGAGGAGGCTCTGAAAGGATCTCTCTGCACCCGCTCGGTTGGTTGTGGGAGATGACAAAGAACCTGGGATCTAGGATAACGCTCAGGATCCTTGCTGGAAAGCTTGGTGTCGAGTGAACGGTGCAGGATCAAGAAAGCAGTGTTTTGTCTTCTTTACTTTTCTATCTTTTCCTTTCTTTTCTTAACAACGGGAGAGATCTGACCACTATTTGTTAAGCTGAAAGGAAGGAGCCAGTGGAGGTAAGCGGTTACAAAAAAAGCAAATAATTAGCAAATCAATATCCCAAAGGAGGCAAGGGGGATGTCTGTGCTGCACAGCACTTGGAACACGGTAAGGAACCAATAAATGTGTGTTCTTGGAACTAAAATTACTTTCCTCTCAATTATTCAACTCCCAAATTCGTGGGGTTTACTCTATTTTATTTTGCATATTACGTTACATTTAATAAGATAATTTTGAGTCCCACTTTAGTGGCCTGATTTTGAGTTGTATAGTCATAATAAAAATAATAACTACCATTTAACAAGCACATAGTACATGCTTCACAGAGCATCTCATCCTTGACAAAACTCCACTGAAGTCAATGTTCCTTACAAATAAGAAAATTGAGACTCAAAAATATGAAAAACTTCACCTGTGCCGTACAGTTAGTAAGTTGTGGAGCCAGGTTTCAAAGCCAGGCCTGAGGTTTGTAAAAATCTATGTTCTAATCACTATGGCCTATTGCCTCCCATATAATTTGTAAATACAAACCTTTCCTGAAACTATTCTATGAAAGTTTTACAGTGAAATAATTTAGGTATTGGTACAAGGGAAAAGATAATTCATAATTACAATTGAAACCAAATTGATTTGTTTATTCCTCAAAGTCAAGATGAGTCTCAATCTTGTTAGCTATAGAACATAATTACTTTCTTATCTAGGAAAGCCATTTTCATTTGTCACAAGTCTAAAATACAAGCAATACTGGGTATATAATTGGGTACTATCACTGCTACTAATATTAACAAATTTTGTTTTAAAATGCCCTTTACAGATTATTTCTATCATAATTAAAATTTAAATTTTTGAGTTTAAAAATATAAAAGGAACACTTTATGAGCTTTATAAATTTTGTGTGATGTTGGAGGTCATTTATGTATTAAATTTGGTAGGTGGCCTAGGTATATTTCAGAAATGAGGAGAAATTGCAACCATAATATATAAAATGGGAATTTTCAATGAATGAAAAAATATTTTCAAGTTAAACTTCTCTGAAATGCAGTATGAATTTTTCTGAGCTGCAGGACCTTATGAATGACTCATAATAACCTTGTAAAACACAGGGAAGGATAATGGTTTTCCAAATATTGTCTTATCATCACTGGGTGTCAAAGTCCTGCCCTTCCGATCCCAAGGAAGGAGATGACCCAGGTTGGAGCAGCAGCTTCCTCGGCAATCAACCATCATGAGCAGGAGAGAAAAAAACAACCAGATTCAAACGATGTCAATTAAGATCCTCTAAGGGAAAAGTGCTTCCTTGTGTTTCGAGGGGCCCTGCTTCAGATGCTAAGTCCTCTGCCCCTACTGGTTGTCCTCCCCCTGATTTCCTGGTCTTGCCCTTTTCCCACCTGATTGGCTCCTTTCTCAGCGAAGGCAGAGGCGGCAGCAGCAGGACTGTCAAAAACCTCCACTAACAGCCCGGTCTCCCAGGGACACTGAGCCCGTCGCTTCAGAGACCCAGACACAAGCTCAGTCCGTTTTCCTGACCCCTGCCTCTGCGAGAGCTGCTGCACGGCGGCTTTTAGCCTGTCTCCTGACAGAGGTCAGCTCTGAGGAAGAAGGGAGACCAAAAAGATGGAAATAAAGAGAGGAAAAGGCCTCCAAAGTGAGTGAGTGTTTCCATGGTCCCAAGTCTCTCTTGTTAGCTCATCACTGGGGGAGCCCAGATGATGGCCAAGTCAACACCACCCACATTTCTGCTCCCAGGCTCCATGTCCCTCCTGGCATATACTGTCTTTGATTGTGTTCCCCCAAGAGCTTTATTTTACAGCTGGGGCAGAAAGAAGCATTTACGCTCTGCGGGGGCTGGATAGGGCAGTGGGGGGAGAGGAAAGAATAAAGACCACTGGGAACAGGTGGAGCATTTTGTTCATATGAGATTTGTTCAGATCATAGCCAAGGAGCTCACACCGGGAACTGTTCTAGAGAGAGTTTCTAGGTCCCGATAAAAAAAGTGTGGCTTCATTCTGGGCTTCATCTTTTAAATCTTCATAATTTAATTAAAATTTCTATCTTCCAAGATAGCTGAATTCCAGGGTTTTCTAAGGCAAGAAAAGTGAATGTGGTGATGGTGAAGCCAAAATAATAGGCATAGTAAGGTCATTTCTGCAAAAGTCTCCACAAACGTCAAACTCAATTTAGGAGGCAAGGGTGGAATTGAGGAGTAAAGCCACACTCGTTACTGAGGAATCAGAACAAAAGCCTCTGAATGCCCAGTGAAGAGTCAGGAACAACAGCCCAGGGCAGTAACTGGCAGAGGCAAATGAGCATAGGAAACAGATTTTGAGAAGACTCGGGCCAATCCAACCTAACTCCAGGGTACAGTACCTTATAACCAAGGTGGCTGTTGAGAATACATTTAATCAGGCACCATTGCCTTTTACCTGAGACCTTGTGTCTCCTGACCCTGTGACTGAGGGCTGTGTACCCACACCCAGTTTAATGAAGATGTGGCTTACTACATAATATAAAAGCACATTGAACCTGGGTCCCTGACCCAAAAAGCAATCCCACTAAAGCAATGTAACTAGTTAGTGATTATCAACCAAGACCCTGGGTCCCAAAGATAAGCAGCCACTGCTGCTCTCTCAGACAATGAAACTTAACACTTACTGGCTATAGAGGACAGACCAGACCACTATCTGAGTCTTGTGGGCATTAGGCTGCACCTCTGAACCACGAGTCAGTAGCTCCTGATTCTGCTGATTAGTGGCAGATGCTTCTGTAAAAGGCGCAAGGCCCTTCTTAGGACAAAACCAAATCAGGAATGAGACATACAACCAAATATCAAAGGGGAGAGCAGGGGCTCAAGCCAAGGACAGGAAGCAGCTGGCACAACTGGTTTTGTTGACCCAGCTCTGCAAGGAGGGCCTCTCAGCCCCAGAAGAGTTCGTTGTTATCCGGCATCTGTCATCACCAGAGGCATGCTGGGAGGAGAGGAGCACACTGCACAGTTGTGCCTAGAGTTGACCCTGGCATTTTATACGTGTTTCTTAAAAGAGTCTTAGTTCCTAAATGACATTTATGGCTTTTTTAAATGATCTAATAAATTATGACACAGGGTCAAAACTATGTAAACCACATGTGCAAATTTTTCATTCTTAAAATATATCCAAACAGATTTGTAGAAGTTAGAAATAAAGTCAAAGAAATTATCTGAGATCTATTGTAAAAGAAAAATTGCACCAGACCAGTTAAATGGTCAAGGAAGACTTTATTCAAAACTTTTGCAGCAGAGGAGAGAGAGTCAACTCAACTCCGCTGCAATAAAAGGCAGGTAGATTTTTAAAAGTTGGGGTTAGCTAAAGGAAAGTCCTGGAGGACGCTAGATGGGAGGTTGGTCAATGGGATTAGGCCTCTGTGTTTGCTAACTGATGCTTATTGAGGTGAGGCTCCTACCATCCCACAGAGACTGGGAGACGGGGGCACTATCTTTCTTGATAACTACATTCCAAAGGAATGGTTCCCAGCTCCCTGAGAATAACATTCCAGGGTTGTAGACGATTTACATCTCAGAGTGTCAAAGAAAGAATTTACAAGGCCACCAACAAAACGAAAAGGTATCCTAATAAATGGGACAAGATATTTGCAAGTGATGTATCTGATAAGGGGTTAATATCCAAAATATATAAAGAACTCATACCACTCAATATCAAAAAACAAACAATCTGATTAAAAAATGGGCAGAGGATCTGAATACACATTTTTCAAAGAAGATATACAGATGACCAACAGACATTTAAAAGATGTTCAACATCACTAATCATCAGAGAAATGCAAATCAAAACCACAATGAGATATCACTTCACACCTGTCAGAATGGTTATCACCAAAAGGACAACAGATAACAAGTGTTGGTAAGGACATGGAAAAAAGGGAATCCTTTGGCACTGTTGGTGGGAATGCAAATTGGTGCAGCCACTAAGGAAAACAGTATGGAGGTTCCTCAAAAAAGTAAAAATGAAACTACCATACGACCCAGAAATTCCACTTCTGGGTATTTATCCAAAGAAAATCAAAAGACTAATTTGAAGATATATGCACCCCTATGTTCATTGCAGCATTATTTACATTGGCAAAGATATGGAAGCAACCTAAGTATCCATCACTAGATGAATGGATAAAGAAGATGTGGTGTACATATACACATGCATGTGCATGCCTGCACATATACATGCACACAGGAATATTACTCAGCCATAAAAAAGAATGAAATCTTGCCATACAACATGGATGGACCTCAAGGGCATTATGCCAAGTGAAATAAGCCAGACAGAGAAAGACAAATACCATATGATTTCACTTGTATGTGGAATCTAAAAGACAAAACAAATGAACAAACAAAACAAAACACAGACAACCTCATAGATACAAAAACCAAACTGGTGGTTGCCAGAGAGGAGGGAGGTAGGGGGATGGGTGAAATAGATGAAAGGCATTAAGAGGTACAAATTTCCAGTTATAAAATAAATAAGTCACAAGGATGTACCACAGCATAGGGGATATAGTCAATAATATTGTAATAACTTTGGTGACAGATGGTTACTGGACTTTTCATCATGATCATTTCATAATGTATATAAATGTCAAATCACTATGTTGTATACCTGAAACTAACATACAATAGTATATCAACTATACTTTAATAAAAAAAAGAAAAAGGTGCAGGAAAGATTGACAGGTGATGTGATTAAGGATTCAGCACCTAGTAAGATATAAATAAAAAGTAGCTTTTGATTAAAAAAAAATTGCTATGACCACTTTTCTAAAGTAAAAGCTCTTAGAAAAGGGAGGTCAGCGATCTGTTGTCAAGAAGTTGTTTGTCTAAAGTTTACACCAGTTTAGACAAGTTTAGTTGGGAACGTTAAGGCCATCTTGGTCACTATTTTCAACCTTGGAAAGGACAGGCTGAAACGATTTGCATGTGGATCAATAAAGACCCCCCCTTCTGCCTGCTTCAGCCCCATGATTCTATTTT